ATCCTATAATTATGGGTATTTATTACATTGGTGAAACATCTAAACCCTTAAATGTTAGAATTAAAGAACATAAAGATTATTTAAGAAAGGGAGATTTTCACAAATCTAAGATTTGTCAGCATTCATGGGACACAGGGCATAGAATAAATTTTAATAACGCCAAAATTATAATGAAAGAAGCGATAGCCTCTAAAAGAAAAATAAAAGAGGCTTTTTTAATTCAATCTAATAAAAATAAATGTATTGCTCATGCATCTGTAGATGTTAGTAATGTATGGCAATCGCTTCTTTGATTTTAAAGAACATAACTTACGTAAAATTTAAAAATAATCATACAGAAAGTTAGGGGCTTTTTGATTTTACCTTATTAAGTAATTGTTATCAGGTAGTAATACTTGTTAATTTTGAAGTTTAATTTGGATATGTCATTTTAACAGAACGTCAACGGTTTCTTGTAGACCTTTTTGTAGACGTATCTGTTTTAAAAAACTAAAGTGTTCTCGATTAGTTGAATTTAAATATTTTAAATAGTTTTTTTCTTATTCTTTTTTTTTGCTTCCGACGACGGAAAGATACAAACTTTCCGTCGTTGAGCATTTTTTTCTTTGTTAGGCAAATTTGTATAACTGTAAACATAACTTCTGACAAGCAGTGTCCGTTTAGGTTTAACACAGAAGTGTTTACAAAAAATAACTATTTTCTTGCAGTGCAGTGGCGAAATACCCATAAAGGATTTTTTTGGAGAAACATATCTAATGAGTTTATTTAGTTATCTTTCCAAAAAAAATAATCGTCTTTCGATCGTGATTTTACTACACTAGAAAGGTGTATTTGTATTACTGAGAATCTGGCAACGCTGCTACAGCTGCAACAGCACACCGTCGCGTTTTCCTCACACCGACGAAATAAGATCCCTAAGCGATACTTCGACACATGTAAATACCGACCCAAAAATAAGAGTTGCCAGCACGGTATATATATTTTTTAAATATATAGTTTTGGAGCATATTTTTACTGCTCCCATTGTTGGTTTCATTTATTGAAGTTAGTTGTCCACCATTTGTAGCTATACCTACGATTATAGTGGATTGAAAACAATATCGAATCGATTTGGTTACCAAAAAGTATATATTAAAATGCACCACTTAGATTTTTTTGTCTTTTTAGCGGGTAGAACTAACTACCACTAATACGATTAGCTGTAATTGTAAAATATTACATGTCAGTTTTATAGCATGATTAGTGCTAACTAATATATTACGTGGTTTGATGTTATTTGCATTACCTATATGTAGCATAATAATAGAAAAAGCGTAGAAATTCTAAAAACCTTGAATATTATAAATAATTTTGTAACTAAAATGTCTACATTGAATAGAAATATAATAAAATGTATTTTAATACTTAAGGAATAAGAGGAAAGTTTATGGATATATTAAAGCACTTAGTTTATGATAGTAATATGTTTTACTATAACGTTTTTTTTTATATAACGTTACCGTAACGTCTAAATTTACTAAAAATAATTCTTGTTTTTAAGCTAATATAAGCTGTTCAGTTCCGTTTAGTTTTTGTAAGCGAAAAACAGAAGTAACTATGGTTCTTCATAAAAAAAGCTTCCTAAAATAATTTCTTCAGGAAAAATATGACTTGTTACTTAGATGTTTTCTGTAAGATAGAAATTGCTTTTAAATTATTAAATTTCAAATTGTAGGATTCAAAGAAGAATTAAAATAACAATTTCTATAAGAGCTTTCTTAAATTGATCGTGCTTAAACTATTTTATATTTGGGTTTACTTTATGTTGTTAATGCGACTCTTTTGTTATTTGTAAGAAAATACGATTGAAGTTGTTTCCGGTATTTGTCGGAAACTTTGTAGATATATGTATAAAAATATTTCTGTTCAGTAATAAAATTCAGATCTAATATGTAATACTATTAATACTTATCAGAAAGATGTTGTCAATATTATAGAGCAACTGTATATTTTATTAGAGTATGAATCAAGAAGAGTAGTTTAATAAAATATAGACTGCTAAAGATAATTTTTAATACATTTAGATTTACTGCTCAATTATTTTTTCCAATATATACATTATATTAGCAAATTATAATTATCATATTTATTGCTTCTTGTTATTCTGTGATTTAAATGTATATTTATTTTGTAGAATAATTTTAAAAATAAATATTAAGAAAATGTGTTTTAATTTTTAGAAAATGTACCTGTTTACTGACTTAAGGTGCATTCAGGCTGAGAGCGTCGAGCGTCGCGTCACGTCACGTTTGCGTCGCGTCCGCTCCATTGAACTCGAACCCCGACGCTCAGCGGACGCTAGCGCAACGCCAAACGCGACGCTGTTGCCTGAACGGTCTAATTTAAGTTAAGTGAATTGATTCCATTTCGACACGCGGACGCGACGCAAACGCGACGCGACGCTCGACGCCCTCAGCCTGAATGTACCTTTTAACTTACATCCCACTTTTATTAGAGTTCTCCGAGCACTTATTTTCTAACTGTTGAGAGACTTGAGTCTTGTGGATTGCTTAATAGAATGCATTGCATCATGTAATGCATTCTATGAGGTGTTGTCCGAAACACGTAATGTCGTGATAGTTGGATTTTTTCTTAGATTAATATCTTGGTTAGACTTTCGGTTACAACTGATACGACAGAGACGTGGATATTTCAAGCATAGAGTAACGATTTTCGTTACCTCACTCATTTTACTAGTGGCAAAATTGCCATTGTGAGTGGCATTTTGAAGATGCACATGATTACCCTTGAATTATGTCTCTTCATCACCTTAAAGTGTTGATTGGAATTTCACTCAGTGTATCTAGCTTCTAATAGGTTTGGAAGATCTTTATTACCATATTATTATTATAATTTCAAAATATAGGAAAAGGTGAATGAAAAAATTAAAATCCTTGTTTGTCAATTTAAACTGTACTACTTTGGTATTTTGTCACTCCAATATTATTACATTGTTTAGTTTAGTTCATACTAATTGTAAGAAAGTATATTATTTAAAAAATAATACATTAAATCATTAAGCTAAGTATGTAGAATCATATACAAACAGATTATGGAGGTACCTTATGGCTGATAAATATGGCGATATAGTTGGCTTGAACTTGAAGATCACTGGTTATACTTTCGGTGACAACTGATACGATAGAGGCTTGGATATTTAAAGCATAGAGATAACGATTTTTGTTACTTCAATCATTCTACTAGTGGCAAAATTGCCATTCTGAGTGGCATTCTGAAGATGCAGATGATTGCCCTTGAATAATATCACTTCATCAGCTTAAAGTGTTGATTGGAATTTCACTCAGTGTATTTAGCTTCTAGTAGGTTTACTAGATCTTTATTGTTTCATTACTGTTATAATTTCAAATTGTTAGTAGGAAAAGGTGAATGACAAAAGTAAGGAAAAAAATGAAAATCCATGTTTGTTAATTAATTTAAACTGTACTACTTTGGTATTTTGCCACTCCAATATTATTACATTGTTTAGTTTAGTTCATACTAATTGTAAGAAAGTATATTATTTAAAAAATAATACATTAAATCATTAAACTAAGTATGGAGAATCATATACAAACAGATTATGAAGGTACCTTATGGCTGAAAAATATGGCGATATAGTTGGCCTGAACTGGAATATCAATGGTTATGTTTTCGGTGACAATTGATACGATAGAGACTTGGACATTTAAAGTGTAGAGATAACGATTTTTGTTACTTCAATCATTCTACTAGTGGCAAAATTGCCATTCTGAGTGGCATTCTGAAGATGCAGATGATTGCCCTTGAATTATATCTCTTCATCAGGATCAGGTGAATGACCAAAGTAAGGAAAAAAAATTAAATTTTTGTTTGTCAATTTAAACAGTACTACTTTGGTATTTTGTCACTCCAACATTATTACATTGTTTAGTTTAGTTCATACTAATTGTAAGAAAGTATATTATTTAAAAAATAATACATTAAATTAAGGTAAGTATGCAGAGTCATTAGAATTTAGAATAGTTGGCTTGAGCTTGAAGATCAATGATTATACTTTCGGTGACAACTGATACGATAGACTTGGCATAGAGATACCGATTTTTTTTACTTCAATCATTCTACTAATAGAGTGGCATTCTGAAGATGCAGATGATTGCCCTTGAATTATGTTTTTTTATCAGCTTAAAGTGTTGATTGGAATTTCACCAGTGTATTTAGTTTCTAGTAGGTTTAGAAGATCTTTATTATTTTATTGCTGTTATAATTTCAAAAAGTTAGTAGGAAAAAGTGATTGACAAAAGTAAGGAAAAAAAATCAAATCCCTGTTTGTCATTTTAAACTGCACTAATTTGGTATTTTGTTACTCCAAAATTATTTCATTGTTTAAAGATCATACTAATTATAAGAAAGTATATTATTTAAAAAATAATACATTAAATCATTAAGCTAAGTATGGAGAATCATATACAAACAGATTATGGAGGTACCTTATGGCTGATAAATATGGCGATATAGTCGGCTTGAACTTATAGATCACTGTCACTAAGGGTACCTACATAGTGAGGCATCTCGATGCGATGCTCGCCGCGATGGATCCTACGCGCACTTGCCGTTTTAATTATTACTATATTAGTTTATTTTTAATACAATTATCGTGATGATATTACAATTCAATTGGATTCTGCGGAGATAGTTGAGTATTTAGTTCTTTCCAATATGGCGGTTTATGTCCTATTACATGACTGGTAGGTATATCTAAATATAAACCTTTTCTCTGGAATAAACTTTCTCCACAAAAGATATTTTTGTTTTTGTTCTCAGTTTAAGTGTCGAAATACAGAGCTGTCTTATCGCCACGTATCACTTCAATCGCCATGTATTTTAGAAGTGATACTTCTCCGAAGTTGAATAAAATTTCTGCTTTTCTCTTTCAATAAAATTTCCAATTAAAACAAGATGGGGAGAAATGAGAAATATAGTTGCGAAATAAAAAAGGTAAAATAAAATATACATTTCTTTTTTTTTTCATAAATAAAATACATAGATACAAAAATAACTTCATAGAATATTAAAATTGTTGGAATATAAATATTTCAAGTATTTATTTCTCTCTTTCAAATAGAGGACATATTAGACTTCATCTGGAGCGTCCTCAAAGGCAGGGTTATCGAAATGATGAGTTGTATATAGATCATCATCGTCCTCCTTGGGAAAGTTATTGTACATTGTTGATGGAAACTGCATTTCAGATTTTCGTTTCAGAATGGTAGTACGGCGTCTGTTAATAGCTGCCACAGTTTTCCTAGGAATCGGTACATCAGCTAAAAAAGAGATTATCAGTTTTGAAAATGGTTTGGTTTGGTTTTACCTTAGCCGAAAATAGGAAGTTTTAATCTTAAATAGTAATTGAAGGGTCCAGGGGAAAAACATGATAAACGCCATTTTACTAATTTTACAGGAGAGCATTGGATGGTTATCAGGTTCTTTCCGTGTATTCTAGATTTTTACTATCTTAGGATTTAAAAACGTATTGCCCCTGTAGAGTTTATACATTTTGTAGGGACCAGTTAGACCTACTATAATATTGTAAAATCCTAAAATTAAGAAATTGGCGCTTATTAAGATTTTCCCCTGGACCCTTCAATTAACAATAGATTTACGTCGTTTTTAATTGTTTGATTTTTAGTAAATCAAACTGGGAAAAATACTTCTGTTTGTTCAGTTCATCATATTGTACTGAACACATTGACTTTGTACACATGAAAATCGGCATCCAGAGACTGGTGTTGCCCACTGTGTATAAATAATGATAAAGATGAGAATATAAGATTTTGTATAGATCAATGAACATTATCACTGGTCTCTACAAAATTTTTGTTGTTTCGTGTCTTCAAGGTCACACGTCAAAGACACGACACGACACGACAAAAATGAACTTCTGATATGAACTTCTGCGATTAGTTATAAAAGGCAGTTGCAGGAAAGCGATTAGTTATAAAAGTTCAAGGCGGGGGAAATGGGGTAACACCAGAACACCTCATCACTGAGTGCGCCGAGACGACTACCATTCGTACCATAAACTTTGGTACGACTGATATTGGAGATGGAGAATAATAAAAAACCGTCCCAGATTCTGGTTTTTGTCAAAGCCTGTATGATGGGTTATAACTCAAGAAAGGGGGACACAATAGATCTGTAAGGTCTACTAAGTTTCACTAGAGATGCTTTAATTATATATTGTAATTGTCAAGAACATTTTGAATTGTCGAACAAAATTTTTATTTTTTTAAAAGCGAATTATTAATGGAAAACTTATTATGTAGGTAGTTATTAACAACTTGAACTTATACATACATTCTTCGTTATTTCGAATTTTCTCCATTCTCATGGCAAAGGCTGTGTCCAGGTCATTTATAACAGCTCGTTTTTTGTTTCTATTTTTCATCAGTGCTGCTACTGTAGTTCTTCTGGACACGTGGCTGTTTACCTCTTCTTCCTTTTCATCGTCACCATTTACTCCTTTTAGCTTGATCAGTTTTCGGAATATTTTAATAGGGTCCTTTTCTAACAGTTCATCCTCTGTCATATTTTCCACCTACATCAGCCAAAACGGTATTGATACAAAAATAAATAAATTTAAACTGTTCGTTACCTTCGTGTCGAATAAATTCAAATCTAATTCGGTGTTGGCCATGATCTGAGAGAATGTACCAAAACGATGCAAGAACATACAAATGAACTGAACCATCATTAAACCGAAGAAGAATATAAGAAAAACAAATCCTATAGGTTCTAGTTGAAGACGTGTTTTTGTTAATACGATCTAAAATACATAAGCAAATATTTATTAACGAGTTTTTTTTGGCCGTTTATTGAAGAAATAAGAAGGCGCGCAACATTATGGGCGATTTTGTGTCACAAAACCTGTCCGAGATGTAGCTGGCGTTACTGTCAGCCTGTCCGAGATTTAGTTTATTTCTGCGCCGCCGCCTCTGCGCGCTGATAGTCGCTTACAGCGCAGCGGATAAATAATACTGTACCGTAGTTCTACTTCCGGTCGACAGAGAGAGTTGTTGCCGAAACAGTGTTGCCAGAATTACTGATTAATCCGTAGATTTACGGATTTTGGGTACCGTACGTTAATAATACTATACTAGATGTTCTATCATTATCAGTTTAATATAATATTATATGATTAAAGAACGGCGTCAGAGTTGGCTTGAAAATGAAAATCGCTGTTATTTCATATGTAAAATATTATGGCAAATGTCAATAGTCAACATTTCCAGCTAAACGACTTTTTTCGAGCATACGACATATTCAGCACCTAAAAAAGAATTTTTAATTTTGTTGTTTATGCTGTTTGACACGAATAAATTTTCAATACATAAACGCGGATTTTCCATCCAAAAATAGTTCCGTGAAACGTTTAATTACAGATATTACACATTTTAATATGGCAACACTGTCGCTTTCATTTCCACACCGTCTTCGATACGCCTTCGCTGGCCGAATTAGAGAAAATAAGTGTTTTATGCGTTGGCCGCAGAACGATTGATGTCTCCACCGTACAGCACTTGTGACGTAAGAGGAAATTAAATCAGCCTTGTCACAAATTCGCCCATTAGGTTGCGTATCTTCCCAATTCTTTTAATCAACGCCTTGACGTTGTTTTTTTACCTCGTTACCCCACGTAGTTCCAGTATAGGTGAAATTAATGGTAGGGTTGAAAGGCCAATTCAAATGAATTAAGTCTTTTTTTAGAGTCAAAAGGAAAACTACCAATACAAATAATGAATTCAGCATAAAGAAACTCAAAACCATTTTGTCTCTGAGGTCTTTTAAATCTTGCGCAACTTTTTTCTGAAAATTGTGTTTTATATTAATAATAAAATTATTAATTACCGTAGAAATAACTTATTTGTTACTAAGCTAGATACCTGTATAATTTCATATAACCCCTTTACCTTCATGATTTTATTAATGGCGCTTGATTGCCATTAAGTTTTTTTTTGTTTTTTTTTATAATAATATATTCAAACTTTATCTTTCTTTATTTTTTAGTTAGTTTCTCGGTTAGTTTAATTTGTTTATGTAGTTTTGTTTTTGTAGTTAGTTTGCTACTTAGTTACTACTTTTTAATTGCGGTGTCTTGAAAAATTGTGTAGATTACTTTTTATTATCACATTTCTGGTAGCATATTCTGCATATAAGAATCAGTAAGAAAGTTCGTATAAATATGTCTTAAAGTTCTCAGTTTAGGAGATACAGGGTGTAGAAGTTTCTTTTTTATTTCGATTTTTTCCAAATAATTTCTGAACTAACGTCGATATTTGGATGAAAAGAGTTTTTTGACATGAGAAATTTAATTTCGTTGTCAATACGACTCCTACTTGTAGAGGCCGCCACCTACATGTGTTATTTAATCGTTTTGAAGAGTAATAACTTTTTGTCCGTACCTATATTACACTACTGAGTCAAAAAATATAAATTTTTGTCATTTTTGCTTAAAAAAGGGTCTCTTGGAAAAATTAGTACGAGCAACCGTTTAGAAGATATTTCGGATGGAAATAGTCAATATATGTCATTATTGACAAATAAGCGAGCAAAAAGTAAACATATTATGTTGATTTGACTGAAATGGTAAGCTTTTTTTAATTTAATCATAATTTTTTCTAGAAGAAATGAAGATAAAACAGTTTTTAATGTTTGGCACAAAAACATTCCAAATTTATTATTTCAGAACAATAACTATCTAGTCAACAGGATGTAACAGTCAAATTTCCTCTCAACGACCTCTGTGTGCTAGCTCATAAATTATCGCAAATAACTATTATTTTTGCATCATGTTTACTATAATTTTATTGTTAAATATTATTTTATTTAGTATTTTACCATTATGCAACCGAATATACACTATACAGGCTACAGCTACACCACATTGTCACTGGATCCGCCCAGCATTAGAATTTTTGTCTATCTCTCTATATCTTTGATCATCACTTGTCACTTGTCACTGTCAGATCAAAATCAGATTTTTTTGGATTTATTTATCCTTTGTTTTGGTTATTGAAATTTTATAATTATCAGATAAAATTTCGTAGTTAAATTGGTTATTTTTGATGTGGATCGCAGTGTGCAATTCGTTGTGGGAATTTGTGAGTTAAGTTCGTTCATTGATCGGATATGAAATATGGCTGTTGGAAAATATTCTAGAACATCGTTTTTTATTTATGCCTTTTTGTGAGTTGGACTAGTCAACATATATAGTTCTTTATCTATATCCTGGAGGGAGATTTCCGGTTGAAATCTGATTTTCTGAAGGAAATCGAATCCTTGCATCACTTCTGGTGTACTCCCCGACCGAGAATATCGTCGTGAAGAACTGGCTGCCGTTTCGTGAAGCATTCCCTGTTGGTGAATAGCAAGTCTTCCTAGAGAAGGATTAAGGCTTCCGAAACACATTTGGTCAGAGATGTGGTTGGATTTTGTTGAGTTTATATGGACCACCGACCAATTTCCGTAAGGGATTAAATAGCCAAATTTTTCCGACCGATATCCCGATTCCACGTGCCCAAGAAGTCCCCGAATAGTTCCAAGGTATGCTATAATTCTTCTGCCTATTCTAAGTCAATGCTAAACTGATTTTATTCGTATTGTTGACTGGTTTTCGACCAGTCAACAATACGAATCGTACTGTTGACGATTCAACAGTACGTACAATTTCGTACATACATCGAATAGAGTAAGACTGTATAATTTTAGTTAGGTTTAGATTGGCTATTTGTATTCCGCCCTTAGAGCATACTTAGTTTAAGTTAAGGGGGATGACGTCTTAGTTTTAGTATAGCTTAGACCATTTTCATTTATTCTTATCGATTTAAACTTTACTTCATTTCATATATATTTCATCATTTTCTTTATACATTTAACCTTTTTAATATTTTAATAAATTGCTTAAATATTTTTAGTAGTATTATTTACAGTCTAGTCTCATAGTTAAGTTAAAGTCACTTAAGTTTAACGAGTTATAGCATATTTGAAGTTCATGGTAGTTGCACTCAACAGTTCGAGGTTAGTGTTGAAGTCTACTTAATAGTTACATCTTTATTGCCGAGTTCATAGAGTATAATCTCGTGGCGCCCTTTTATTAATATTTTTGAACCCCGATCACCCGGCTGTTAAAATTAAAAAGCTAGTGGCCTCTATGCAACTCATTCTAATTAAGTAACCTTGTGTTTTATTGAACTTCAAATTAGAAAAGGACGCGGCAAATATTTTTTTTTCTATGATGACATGTATTAACTATTTCGATTCCAAATATCTGGAGGATCATTAGTCGAAGCGATTTTTACCAAGTGACCTTTTTTACACACGGAAATGTATATTTTTTACTCAGAAATTGTAATACAGATACGGACGTACAGTTATTACTCATCAAAACAGTGAAAAAATATGTAGGTTGTGCTCCGTAATCGTAAAAGTCATACTGGCATAGAAAATGAGTTTCTCAAATAAAAAAACACCCAGACACCGATTTTTTCCAAATATGGATGTTAGTTCAGAAACTACTTAGAAAAAAAACAAAATAAAACCAAAAATTCTACATCCTGGTTCTCCGAAACGAAGCATTTTAGGACATAATTTTAGACGACCTTTTTACCTTATTTTTATCTGCAAAATATGTTGCCGAAGTTTTTCGATTTCAATTCGGACCACCCTGTATATTAGCGAATTGGATTTTCTGATTCTGGCTGTAACTGTTTTGGGTTGTTATAATTTTCACTTGTAAAAGTTTGAACAAACGTTGCTAATGATTTAGGGATTTTCGTCTAAGGAATACTACTCTTAATAAGCGAAATTATTACAACAAGGGAGTAAAATTATTACTTTTTTGTTAGTTAACTTTAAAATAATAAAGCAATTTTCATAAATGCAACAAAAATCTAAAAGCTAACAAGAAAATTACTGAACTTATTCATTAATCTAAACCTGTTAAATCAATAGCTACCTTATCGTCTTCGATGGGGTGTAGGTACTTGTCTATTAAGTCATACCAGAATATTTCTTCTTTCTTCTCAAGATAAGTTACGTGTCCTCTGTAAAGCTCGCCATCATAAAACCAGCTGTTATTTTGCAGATCATCAGACGGAGTGTCGAAGGAATCATTATCATCGTCAAAGTCACCATACGTGTCGTTAATGATTTCCATTGGATAGCTGAGACTCGGTCTGTTTATTGTAGTAGGACGCATACTGGGTCTTGGACGTACTGATGCTCTCGCACCTGAATTTTTATAAAAATAAATTAATAAAAATATTGCAGTTAGATACGAAGAAAACAACATAATAGAGCTTGTGACACGTGTCCATGACGCTTTTGATACGGTCAAGTTGACCTTGGTCCAATCTATCGACATACCAAATTTCATTTAAATCGTACGACTTTTTCTAAAGCTAAGAACATAGTGGAGCGACGAGGATAGCGGCGAGCAAGCAGCTCGATACCGCGTCGAGCAAGCCTCGAGATGCTGAAACATAGTAGAGCGGTGAGGAATAGCGAGCTACTTCTAAATTTATTATTTTCATTTGCTTATTGATAATTTAAAATGTTCGTTAGTGGCTAAAATTCTGGGCAGTAGTGCCGCAAACATTTGGTTGATTCGAAACCAACAAACCAGAAGGTGTAGTGTACATGAAATTTTCAAAAACCGGCGAGGGTTTGGCAAATTTTATAACCTTTACGAAAATTTGTTGCCACTTCATCTCATAACTTATCTAAAATATACCGGTTACGGTGATTTTAGTTTCTTTCTGATCCCATAAAATCTCTCTTACAATTACTAAATCTATTAATTTTTAATTTGGGAATCCATCATTTCCTACAGCGCGACAGAGCGACGAAAACAAAATTATTTGAATCGATCTTGCCGCTTGAACTAACCGCTGGAGCAGATCGCTCTACTATGTTCACACGTACTTGTCTTCCCAAGCTTGTTTTGGACACGATGTCGCGCTGCTTGCTCGCCGCTAGCCTCGCCGCTCCACTATGTTGTCGCTCCAACATAGTGGAGCGACGAGGAGTGTCATAGTGGAGCTACTAGTATTTCTGTCTAGTCGTCTACGTCTATTTCCAATTGTTACTTTTCAAATTGCCACACTGTATAAGGTACCATAGCAAAGCTAGTAGAATTTATCGTGAACAGACATTACCTTCCACAAAAGTAGTTTTTCTTTTTGAAATCGTTTTTCTAATTTCTGCTGATTCGGGATCTAATGTTATTCTTTCCAAATACTCTAATCTTCCTTCTATGTGGTCAGCTTTCAGTTCGATATTGGATAGTGAGTTGCTAATCATTATTAAGTGTTTGGAATCGTTGCAACATTCCATGAAAAAATCTCTCAGTTTGTAAAACATACCGACAATAGCGGAATGTTTTTTCTTTACCTCTTTTACTACTTCTTTCGGTTGATTCTAAAATAATGATACTAAGTTAAATATGATATATTAACTTTTTTAATTTAATCTAATCTAATCCAAAAACACAATATAATATAGAACGCAATACCGGGTGTGTCTCAAAAGTGACTCATCCCTATAACTTATTTATTTTTTCAGATAAAAAATCGCGATTTGGTATATTAGTATATGACATAAATTAGGATTGATTAACATTTTCAATTCTTTTCGGCCACTTCCTGTTTCACCGGAAATGACTACAACTTTTGATTTTTAAATGGCACCCTCGCTATTTTGTTACTTTATTCGATAGAAATTGATACTCTGAATAGAATGACGTATCACATGTTAACTTTTGACATTTTCGAATATGGTTTATTTAAAATTGCAACATTCGGTTCATAACGACAATTAATTCGAAGTGTCTGGTACCAGATTATTCGTAAAAAACTGATTTTTCCAAATATGGTAATGAGCCACCCTCGTTCCATTTGAAAAAATGGAACCATTTGAGATATAATTAAAAATACGATTGGGGCATCTTTTAACCGACCAGGACAACACACGAAAAACATTAGACGATCAAATATATTTTTCCAAGGCTCCTTGATTAAAAATTAGTGTTTTTAACACATCTATGGCATTCTATATTAAAATTTAAAATATAATTTTGTTTTAAGCAAAAATGTCAAAAGTTGACATATGTCATTCTCTTCAGAGCGTAATTTTCTTTCAAAAAATACAAAGCGTCATTTAAAAATCAAAAGTATTTGTCATTTCCGGTGAAACAGGAAGTGACCGAAACGCGATAAATACGTCAATCAATCCTAATTTATGTCATACACTAACATACCAAGTCTCGTTTATATCTGAAATATTAAAAAAGTTATAGGGGGTGAGCCACTTTTGTGATGCACCCGTATATAAAACATGAAAATTCTTATGGTCTTCATTTAACGAATTAGAATGTACCTACCGGATTTTCTGCCACAACTGTGACTTCTCTTGTACCCCAACTGACGTTATTCATATTGAAGACAGAGTATATTACCAATAACATGTACATGCTAGGAACGGTAACAAAGTATACTATTCCATATTTCAGACAATAGAGTTCTTTTGGATGTATTAGACCGGCGATTATGTATTCAGCTAGAAAAAAAGATATAATATTCCATCTCATCCAATAAAAAAGATGTTATGTTGATCTACTTTCAGTTTTGTAAAAGAAATAATGAGCTGATCAATTTTACGTACCAACCATAAGAAAGAAAAACATTGACGAGGGTGCTAGTATTCCATCTTGGTTTATTTGCATGACTACACCAATTATTACTGCCATCATTACTAGACCATAGAATCCACTGATAATTCCAGCAATAGTTAACTGTATGTAAAAACAAAGACAGATATATTATAATAGAAAATGTTGTTAATCATTCACTTTTAATGATCAATTATGGTTTTCATTAAGAATAAAGTGTTATATTCATTTAGTTACCTGAGTGTTCGAGTCGAAGAAGACGCAAGCCAAAACAAAAATTGCAATAGGTATTAGATTGTACATAAAAGCGGTCCATTGGGGAAGACCAAACGCTGTTACAAAGGCACCGACAAGCATAAGAAAAATAGTCCCTGGTCCAATAACAGTGCCTACCATTAAAACAATCTGAAATTTAATTAGAAAATAATAGTAGAACTAGAAATAGTTGTAGTTCTAGCACAATTTAGTAAAACTGTAATAACGTGAACACATGAGATAATATCGCGCCATCTACATATCTCAAAAGTTATACTAAGGGCTGGCAAAGATTAGCCTTGGGTCGAGATTTCCGTATGTAAGAAGAGTACAATGCGTTTATTAATATACTGAACAAAGAGAGAACAGTAAAAACGTTGCTAAATGTATGAAATAAACCGAGAAACTGTGCAGATTCGTCGCGGTCGACCGGTCGACCCAATCAGTACTTAAAATTCTAGGAGTACTTAAGAATTCATGCGTTCAGCGTCATGATTTATTATGTCTCGTGGTACTTTATTTGTTTATTTATTAACGAGTCGTTGTAATTTTCCATATAGGTTGTAAATTTTTAAGTGCAAGTTAGAAACACTTGTACGTTTGGTAAAAATAAGTGAAATTGAGTTGGTGCGGCTATTAGAACTCTGAATTCAAAAATCGATATCTCGAAATCCATAATTGATTGTAGTTTTTTTTTCAAAAACGTTCTTAATATTCCTGCTATATTTTCTTCGCAGACAGTATCTGAAAATGTTTATAAATAAAAAAGTTACACGATTTCTGAAAATTGCAATGTACTAAATGTAAATGGATATATTTTTTAAATTTTTGAATGAAAAAAAAACAAGCCTATCGAATTTTTTGTTATTTAAACATCTTGTAGAAGATCCGAACTTAAAAACCCAAAATAAAAAAAAGTTTCAATATGTAGACGTTTTCTCGTTATAAAAACCCTACCGATATTCTTATAATTCCATTTCAGATGCTCACAAATATATCTAATGATTTTATCTAGTTATCTTCTCGAAAAAAAGTATTTTAAAAATAAGCGGTTTGGTTTGGTTTGGTTTGGATACGTTGATAGGGAAAGGCGTACCGGAGAAATGTAGCAACGCCGCAACAGCACACCGTCCATTTTTCTCACTTCGACTTAACAAGATCCCTATGCGATTTACTTCCACACGTGTAAATACCGACCCAAAAGTAAGAGTTGCCAGCACGGTATTCTCAATACGCTATGGACTGCTACAATATCATGGCCATAGATATGCAAAGGCAGGAAGACTGTCAAAAAGGTAGTGGGCCTACTAACAGAGCATTGCAAGCTCAATAGGCATCTAAAACTGATGCTGACCGGGGTTTGGTATTATGATGAGGCTCGATATTACTTATACGGTACTATTATATTTGTTTACTTACCTGATAGAAAATGTATAGCGAAGAAATATTATCGTTAACTTTAACAATGTGTTTTGCGTCCTGCAATAAATCTAGTATATTAGCCATCGTAGATGGCATCCATCTTCTCCTTTGATTGTAGAACTCGTTGAAACCTTCTGGGCAATGGGTATAAGCATCGGAAGCTGCAGAATACTCCACTCTGTAACCTCTTTGAAGCAGAAGAGTGCACAGCCAACGATCTTCGCCCTGATCGTACTGGACATAGTGACGTGCCTCTTCAGATCTGGTGGTGTACCTGGCCATAACGTTGTGGTCCATAAGGGCGCCAGCTCGAAACAATGAAAAACAACCTGGGGAACAGAGAACGCAACCGATAACGTGCTCGGTTGCTTTTTGCATCCAGTGACCGACAGCATATTCGAATACTTGGTACCATGTCATTGCTCCAGATCCTAAAATATAAATAAAAGGTAGAAAATATAAAGAATGTTTCAGTTGAAATAAAACTATTAAGTCGAATATAGAATGAGTGGGATGATGGGGGTTAATTACTGCGACCTTAAAGACCTATTGTGATCTCCTGTCTTGAGTTATAACTTATCATACAGTCTACTTATAACTCATCATACATCAAAATTCTCCTATTGGAAGGGGAACAGGATATTTCTAATCCCCCTCTGACAACAGATGTGCTTCTTCCGAAGGTATACACCCTTCCACGGTTGAGGTTTGGCCATCCGTTCCTTTCATAGTCGAGGAGCTTGTCTCCGACTGAGGTACCCGTGAAGTGGAGGCTGGAGGATGTCCCCAATTTCTCCACCTCCTTAACTTGTTCTCCTTAGACCTGATACCGGTGTTGTGCAGAATCTATAATAGATTATATACTCTTCTTTCTCCATTCCCTCCTTGGATTTGAGGTCAATTCTTAGTGTGTGAGGACCTGACCATGGCCCTCCTCTCTCGAGTTAATTACCCGCCAACTCGATGTGGTGTCTTTCCCGTTGCGCCTCGGCAGAAAGACCGTGATGGTCGCCCCTTTTGGGATATTTTCTCTCTTCACTGCAGTGCCAGTCACGGCCGCTGTCAATTCTTAAGCTTAGGTGCCGTTTCCACCAACCAATGCGCCGATTCTTGAGATACGCAATATATGAGGAGCATGCTCACCCGAGTGTGTATCCCAGAAAAACGCAGCTGATCCACATTTTGTGGATCATTGTGTTACAATCCACTCCCTACTATATCGTCCAGTGTCGCCTCTCCTAGAGCCGTTTGCAGATCGGTGGTCAATACAACCTACGGAGGTAGGTGGTCAATACACGGTAGGTGGTCAATACAACCTACGGAGGAGGTGGTCAATACAACCTCCAACGGTAATTCTTTGGCAGCACTGCCATTTTCACTTGTCCAGCAATATCAGCAAAGCTGGTGATAGGTCCCTGCTTGTCTCTCGGTATTGGACGGCTTTTCATCCTGTTTTTTTTTCTCTCCTTGCCGGAGCAGAGGTGAGGTTCTTGCTCTCTCTCTGGCCCTTTGGAGGAGATGCGCCAGGCTGTTTCTTGGTTCCTTTACTTTGGTCCCTTTCCTCACCCATAATTTGCGTTTCTCGTATGTAACATATCCCGCTGATGGTTAAATAATTTTGATTCATCGTTGTTAAAATACGACTGGACCGGCCTTAAAGTACTGTTATCTTTAGAAACGGTTAAGTACTATTTATGTAAGGAATACAGATGCATAAGTGGAGAAATATAACTAGGGAAATTAAAACAACTGTGGGTGCACGTCATCAATGACACCATGCGTCGTCTTATGGAGTTTGCTGGTGGTCGTATTATGATGTGTAACCAAAGTTATTTTAAGACAATGGAAATCAACATAACATAAAATTTTATTTAACAAAAATATTTATTTGTATTAACAAAATATACGGCTACTTCTGTTGTCAACCGTGATAGTTGGCACAATTTTCACTCCTTTACTATTATTTAAACTATATTGGAAATATTTTCCAAGCTGACAAAAATTTTGCACAGTTCAACTCTAAGGATAATTTTCTTAAGATATTCATGGCCGAGATCAATTCCAAATAAGAAAAAATATTGTTACATCTAGTAGCTGACACAAGATGTAGTTTTAAGTGCATATTTTTTGGCAAGATGGTGTAATACTATTTACATTTTAGTGGAAGCTAAAAGTCATATGATCATTTATATTAGCAATAGTTATATTTACCAACAGGATGAATTCTTCCACAAGCGGCTCCTAAACTATCGTTTTTCTTCATATACTGAACCAGCAAATGTACGGCTTCCGGTTGAAAATCGATATCTCCGTCCAAAGCCATTATATAAGTATTTCTGGACCTTAATTTAACTCTGTCTGGGGTCAGCTCTTCGTTATCCATAATCCTGAAATAGATTTTTTAAGTTCTGTTTACCATTTACGCATTATCGTTTCAGTGTTTACGAACCTATGTCCTAGTAGATAATACATATACATCACTTGTGACCATCGTTTTTTCGCTCGGATTTTTGCTTTGTCCTTTAGGTGGGCGATCACCTTAGTCTTTCCAGGTAAGGTCCAAACCAGTCTTCCACCATATGGTGTTGGATAAATTACAGGAGGACGTATACGAACTAAAAATATTCATGTAATACTCTAATATCATTAAAATTTTTATTGTTCAGTGTGGCGCCTCTCATATGATACGGAAGCTCCAGGAAGAACGGTAGTTGATATATACGTTAAATATAAAACTATATTAATATTAATTTTTTAATATTAAACATTCGTTATTCGCTATAAAATCTATGTGGCTGTGATATACCTTTCGTTACTTTAAAAAACATTAAAGTCTCTATGTTAAAATATTCAACGGTAATAAAAAGATACGTTTAAACATATTTTAATTATTACAGAATTAAAACTAGATATAAGCGTATAATTATGTGACAAATATTAGTTAGTTGAAATTTAATGCTCAAAATGCTTCTTTTCCTGCTCATTGCATGAAATGATTCTCTCTTCAAAAGATCTTTTTTTGTTAAGAGGCATATGTGGAGTTCTACGCTCTGCAGCCACGTCTATTTCTCTTGTGTTGTCGATAATAGTTGGTCGAGATTTGTAAGCACTGTTTTTAACATATCCCCATAAAAAAGCCCAGACTAGATAAATCAGGAGCATTTAAGCATTCTATGAATAGGTGAATGCACAATCCAGACATCAATTAATAGAATCATGTGACTTTTTTTCTGATGTAGGATAATAAGTTTAAATTTCCGGCAAATTTCTAAAAATTTGTTTACTTATATTGTTTTGTTTATTATTTATATCTTAATTTGTTTTCTTATCTTAAAATATCTAGGAAAATCTTTGTTTGAGAGGTAGGCAACCTTAATAATATTTTGAAGAGACATGAATTCTTCATAGTATATCGGAATAATAACTGGATGTCACATTTAATATTATTATTATATTATACAGGGTGTTTCAAAACAAATGCGAAAAACTTCAAGGGGCGATTCCTTGTTCAAAAAAAAGGGTAGTCAACCATTAGGGAGATATCGCAGTACAAAGATGGCGGAAAAATAATGTTTTTATTTTTTATCTTGAAAACGAAAAGAGATAGACTAATGAAATTTTATGGGAGCATTACGGTTATGAAAACACACTTTCTGGTAGTTTTTTCACTTTTTTAAAATGAGTGGAAGGGGTTAAAATAAACTACCCCTATCATTCTTGTTAACGAAATTTAAAGAAAAATCTTATCAAACACATGCAAAAAAAATAATTTGGATTGCTTGGTTTGTTTAGAAACTTTTTTATCTCTGGTGTTTCTTTGATAAAACTCGCCGATTTGAAATTAAAAAATAAAATGTAAAGCATTACATGTCAGGATAAAAAAACATTTTTAGATAAAGAATCTAGTGATAATAACGATAATAATAAGAATCCAGATACTAACGTATTGCAGTAGAGTAATGTCAATAAATAATATTAGAAACATCCTAAAAAGTGACAGCGACCGACTAGATTTTTTCCTAAAAAAAATTAGAGCAGCCCACTAGATTCTCTATCTAAAAATGTTTTTTGTCCTGACATGTAATACTTTACATTTTATTTTTTTAGTAATTTCAAATCGGTGAGTTTTATCAAAAAAACACAAGAGATAAAAAGTTTCTAAAGAAACTAAACTATCCAAATTAATTTTTTTGCATGTGTTTCATTAGTCTATCGTTTTCGTTTTCTGGATAAAAAATAGAAACTTTATTTTTCCGCCATCTTTGTACCGCGATATCTCCCTAATGGTTGACTTTTGACCCAACGTTTATAAAGCAAACTACCCTTTATTTTGAACAAGGAATCACCTCCTGAAGTTTTTCGCATTTGTTTTGAAACACCCTGTATATTTATATTATAATCTCGATTATAATAATTTAATTAATTAAATTAAAGAGTAACTTGCTTTTAAAGGCGATCAATGGTCAATATTAATTTTGTCTCACCCTGTATAACTGTTTGGGTCCAGTTTTAATTTGATTTAAAGTACAATTTAGGTAGCTTTTATTGAAATTTAAAATTTATTCTTCATTTTTAGAAAATGCTCCAGAAAATGTTAAATATGTCAAAAACCTTACATTTTAGTCATACACTTCTGTAATGAAATTCATCTTTATTTTTCTCCTAGAATCCGAAATTCAGTTAATATATATTCCATTGCAAAAAACATAACTTTGATTTGTAACTTTTTTTACATATGCTCACAAAATTTCATTTTGATATAAACTACAAAACTACATTTCTCCTTAGAACCTCTGCGTCGTATGAGAGGCTCCACCCTGTATATTCTTCTTCTTAGAAATCAGTCGTTGCAAGAAGACTATATACTTTGATTTACCTTACTACTGATTAAAAAAAGTTCCATATGATGCGGACTAATTAAATTAACATTTATTCATACCTGTGGTTTTGTGAACTTCTGAAGCAGCCTCCGACATGGTGTTTACTAAATCCAGCACATACGAATTGACGTGTGGATCGTTGTCATCTTTATTCTTTCTTACAAATGCGTCGTCGAAAAATATGTGAGCTGTATGGTTTAAAACAATAGTAGTATACAGGGTGTCCCACAATTAGAGCGACAAACTGAAAGGGGTTGTAGAGGGCATCAAAACAAGTCATTTGGGTATAGGAACCCATGTCCGGTATTATTAAAATGAGCGGAAGGAACTTGACTGGACGTGCACTAAGGTACCAACACGGACTGCACGCCCTATCAACAGCGAACAGGAGTGTGCATTAGTGTCTTCAACAGAATGGACGGCACTTTGAGCAGTTTTTGTAAATGTTTTGAATAAATAATACAACTTGAAATTTACGTTTCGCTTCACCTCCTGCCAAAACGGCACATTTCCGGACATGGGTTCCTATACTCAAATGACCTGTTTTGTGCCCTCTACAACCCCTTTCAGTTTGTCGCACTAATTGTGGGACACCCTGTGTAATATGACACTATAATGACATCTTCTGTTACTTACTTTCCCATTCGTAATAGCTTTCGATTGGGTATTGTAGGTAATTCCTTACTATTCTATGGGCCGCTTGATCCTCGTCCATCCTGAAAATTGTTTTCAAAAACTCTATCATTTCTTCGTGGGTCTCATGCCACATGGTACCGCACGCGTATATCCTTGTTACTTTGTCTTCGTCAATTTCAGTTACGTCCATTGGAGAGTCATCTAAATAGTTTAAAAATATTATTAGGACAACGGGTTTCATCGTGAGGTATGGTTCACATTGGTTAATAAATGTCGTGGTACTGAAGAAGGTGTCAGAGGAAAACTATCGGAAAAACTACATGCAAATTTGGATAATCTATAAAATTAATAATTTAATTTGTACAGTACATCTGCTGGATCTGTGTCTATGAAAGGAATGCGGACAAAAAACATTTAAATAAACAACAATATATTTTATACGTCGACTTGACGAGTACGTCACCGCAAGTCGCTCCGCCCACTCATTTTATTGGCTACTTGCAAATTTGTCGAATTTTTATTGATGGGACGCGTCGTCAAATTTTTTACGAAAAACATCAAGAGAATATCGTTTCCCCTCTCGCGGATACCCCGTAGCTACAGAACGGACAGACGTACTGTATATTATTTAAATTAATAATTTGTATGCATTCTCGAATATAAGTACTGATGGGAACAACATATCCGGTTAATTTTGTTTATAACTTTTGATATTCTTTGTTTAATATAACAATGGAGAATGACTTTTAGGCAAAATTTCTATTAAGAGCTGAAATATGTATTGGGGAAAGTCCGAAAAAGGAACCGAAATGAAGTACTTTTTTATTCATCCCTTAGAGGGTCAGCTTACCCAACTTTTAATAAACAGGAAACTCAATTGGTTTGCAAATGTAAAACTCGTCGTTGCTTTCTTTTGTGAAATTCTTAAATAGCACAATTTTTTTTGTGACACCGCCGCGCGTTGTTTCAATCTCGGCAACCATTTTAAAATCTAGTAGTATTGACATTATTCTATGGTCAAATTTTTTTGTTTTTACAATACTTTACAATAATTTTCCAATACTCAAGTAGGTATATATTTGAAATTTTCTGATACTATTTTTTGTCTACGAGGTATTCCAGATAGGTACTTCTCAAATTGCCATTCTGTATATATTTTTTTAGTTTCAACGTTGATTGAAAGAATTGGGAAGATAGACTATAAACCTAATGGGTAAATTCGTGACAAGACTGATTTGATTTCCCCTGACGTCTCAAGCGCTGTACGGTGGAGACACCAATCGCTCTGCGGTCAACGCACAAAACACTTATTTTTTGTAATTCGACCAACGAAGGCATATCGAAGACGGTGTGGATCTGAAAGCGACGGTGCTGCCATATTAAAATCTGTAATATCTGTAATACGTTTGACGAAAATATCTTTGGATGAAAAATCCGCGTTTATGTATTGAAAAAGTATTCGTATTAAACATAGAATAAATAGGTACTGAATACGTCGTATGATCGAAAAAAAGTCGTTTAGACGGCTTGGCAATGACGATTATTGACATTTACCGTAATAATTTACATATGAAATAACAGCGATCTTCATTTCCAAGCCATCTCTGACGCTATTCTTTGTTTAATCATATAATATTATATTAAATTTTTTAATGATCCGTAATATTAACGCACTGTACCCAAAATCCGTAAATCTACGGATTGATCAGTAGTTCTAGCAACACTGTCTCCGGCAACCACTCACTCTGTCAACTAACAGCAGAAATACGGTGCAGTATTCTATATCCCCTGCGCTGTAAACGACTCATCAGCGCGCAGCGGCGCAGAGCTAAACTAAATCTCGAAATTTTCGGACAGGCTGACGGTAACGCCATCTACATCTCACACAGATTTTGTGCCACGAAATCGCCCATAAGGTTGCGCATCTTCTTATTTCTTCAATCAACGGTTTCAGAAATATCACGAACACAATGAACGAATTTCCAAACGAAATAACGAGTCGCACAAAATAGCATTTTTAATCAGCATGTCAGCATGTTTTGTTTTTTAAATAGCACTTAGGAAATCCAGTCCTTTACTAACAAATGTAGACTGATCCATTTTTACGAGTGGTTTATAATAACTTCTATAAAAATAAAAACAATACCTTTTATTTTTACTAATTCATCCACAACATTTCTTCTATTTAAGACCAGCGACTGGTCAATAAGAAAAGGGTCATACATCGGTTTCATAAACAGTTGTTCTGTCGAAGCAAGCTTCGAATTTTTATTAGTCCAGATATGTTGAGTGATCCAAAACTAAAAAACAGTGTTACAGTAACTATACCGTCTTCACCTCCTGTTCTCTGAAATTTATCTTTACCTGTGACAGTAACCAAACTAACCATATCCAAGCATGTTGATGGCCTACAAAGTCTTTTAAATATATTAGCGGAGGGGTGTTAAAGAACAGATAGGTTATTTCTGTCGGAAAACTACCAAAATAAACACAACTATCCCTAGCAAACGCCCCGCATATGGCTACTAATGCAGTAATAAGCACTGGAACAGTAAGGTTTATTGGAAATGCAAAACTTGATCCTAAAATTATCAATATATGTATTGCTATTTATATGAAATATATTTTTGATTTATTCACCTTGAATCATAATTTTACAAGCAAATTTTCCAAATGCGTAACAAATATAGGTCGAAGCGATATTTACAAACCATATGATGAGCTGATAAAGAACTTTGTTGTTAAGGTATTGGTTTTGACCTGTACTGACAGCGTCATCTACACTACTATTTGTATTACTGACTTGAGGTATTACCTGGTAAAATTAAACGAATTGAAGGTTGAATATTATGCTTCAATACGACTACTGGATTTATTTTATTCTTTGGTACTACTTACCTCAGTTATATTCATTTGATGTTCTGAAAAGGCATTTACAAAATTGTCGAATATAAATAAGCCATCGCCTTCTCTGATATGGAAACTAGCGATTGCAGTAATAAGGAATAATAAACATTTTATGATCGATATAATAGAGTAGCTAAAATATTTGCTGTTTGGGAATTCTTTTTTTCTTCTGGCAATGTTCCTTAAGAAAGGTATCTAAAATACATAATATTTTGTTAAGCATAAATTAACATACTTTAATTAATTGTAGTTGACAACTTTTAAAGTAATACTTTCGATAATTAGAGTTAATTTGTAAGGAATACACAGAGAAGATGAAGTATAAGGAATAGTTTTATTATTGGAAATACAGTTTTTAGTCTATGCATTTGCTCTGAAACTGAAAACTGTATACCAAACAAATTCACCGGACCTGAATCTCATTTAATCCAAACCAAAAATCAAAGTAGTGCATTGTGTGGCACATTAAACAAGTTATGTGTGGCACAGTAAAGATTTACATTTTTATTGTGAGGGGGGATGTAATTCTATTAAAGAAAATCTTAGTTTGTTAAAAAAAAACGTTATAGCAAGAGTCTCATGATTATTTAAAACTTTCCCAGTATCTATATTCTTCAACTCGGTTTTTAAGAATCTAAATATGGACAATGTGAGTGATATCAGACGAATGATACAACTAAATATTTGAAAAACAACTGAATGGTTCAGGGGAAAATCATGATAAGCGCTATTTCACTCATTTTACAGGAGTCGTTATCAGGCTCTTTGCGTGTATTCTATATTTTTACTAGGCATATATCATAGTGTTAAACAACTTATTGCCCTGCGGAGTTTATATATTTATACTAGGGACCAGTTATACCTAGTATATTGTAAAATACTAAAATTAAGAAATTGGTGCTTATCAACTTTTCCCCCTGACCCTTCAACTGGTAATTGATATTTGTATCTAGTAAGATTCTCTTTTTTTCCTTCGCTCTATTATGTATGCTTTTTTTTTTGAAGTGAAACTTCTTTACGCGCTCTAGTAGAAAAAAATCAAGGCAGTGACACGACACGCGACACGACAGGCGAGTGGAAAAGTGGTAAGGTAAAACTGCTTAGAAAAAATTGACCGATTTAAATGGAATTTGGTATGTCGATAGACTGGGCCAAGGCCAACTTAACCGTGTACGGTACGTGTCACTGTGACAGTTAGTTTTGACGTAAGAAACCTCAAAAGTTTGGTGGGTTGGCTATGTGAGCGACGGTACACACTGTTGTTGTCACCCCAAAAAGTTGGATACGTTTCGTACTTTTTCCACATTTCAAACCATGGTAATCGCAAAACAATTTCCGATGCACGTGATCAACTTTGAGTGACAAGCGATGGTGACAGCGCTGCCAGATTGTGATGGATTTATGAGATCTTAATTTAAAAGTGCCAAGCAATATATATTTATTATATCATTTTTAAATATTTTTACGTTTTATTTTTAATTTAATAACTAATATTTTAGTAATTAATTAATTAATTTGTTTTATAGCTTATTTTACTTATTACATATTGGCAAAACTAGTCCTTTATGAAGATTCCTTGGTATTGTAAGCGTTATTATGGGTTATTTATTTATTTATTGATGTATATCTTACAACGCCATAAGTGGTAATAACAAGTAAGAGGGTGCTATTAATGCACAAACTAACAATCACAGAATTTAATAAAAACTAACGTAGAAATAACTTTCAAAGTGGTGTAATGTGCTTATCAATCAAATTTACTTGTCTGACTGCAGTCAAGGGTAATAGAGAGGACCTTTATTGTCACGTTCACGTTCAAAATAGTTTATCAGGGAAGCTACAAGCTCTTTGCTTCGACTGTTTAAATGCTTCGGCATATTTTCAACACACAATTTCAAGAAATGCAATACAAAAACTCGAATATATAGTTCTTAAAAGAACTGTTTGTGCTTAAAAGTACAATTTAAAAAAAGACTATGAAAATAGGCAAAAAAATGAGAATTACTCACAAAGATTCAACAACACGATACTATACAAAATAATTACTGATATTAAGATAATTATTGTCAAATAATAAACACATTGTTGAAAACGGTACAATAATGTGACCAACATAGCGATAATAAAATTCGGTTTAAACTAATTTTTGCAGCTTTAATATAAATAAAATATCTGTTACAATCATTTGCTCTATAAAGTAAAATGAAGAGCTGCTCGGTATCTTAAATTATACAACAAATTTAAACATTTTTGAAAAAATTTCATTTAGTCAGGTTTATGGACTTTAGTGTCAATGTCGATATGATTGATGACGTGCATCGGAAAATGTTTTGCGATTACTATATCCATTTTCAAACATGTCCTTTAAATCCTTCAATTTAATATCTGTTAGTAAAAAGTTTTACTTCAAATATGCACATAGTCAGTCTGTACCTGCTATTTTTATCGATAATATACTTACTGATATTTTTTCAAAAATAAAATTCTCCCACCAACCGAAAGATATAAGAACTGAGGATACAGGAATTAGCCACAAAACCGAATTGCCTTCTATAAGAGGCCAGGCCACAAAAGCAGACGCTTGAGCTGCCAGAGCCAGAAGGTCCGCTGTCATTGTAAACCATAGATCTTTTCTATAAGATCTTACGTTTCTTAAAATATATTCTACAAAAGCAATATTAATTTACCAATATTTTTTAAACTTAGATGGTAAAGGTATATTTTTACCTAAACTTGGAATAAAGCAGAAAGCATTTGTTAGCATAGCTCCTCTTATAACATCCATTTCAGGAAGTATATTAAAAACAAGTAATGCACTTCCTACGGCCGGCAATGATTCGGTTAGAAGTAGGGATAAAAAATCCCAGCCTCCTGGAAAAGTCCAACTTTTGAACCATAATATCCGTACAGATCTGCAAAATGAAAATAAAATTAACCTCATATAATTTTACATTATTTTCTATAATAACATGGTAAATTTTATTTAACTTTGCTTAATTATCACACAGAAATTATGAAAGCCAATTTTCTTAACAGTTTAGCCAAAATATTAATATCTAAAATTGTATTTTAACCTTAATACGAAAGACGTTATGATCGTTAGTACTCCATATACTAGAAGATCCGGTCTGCGGACTTTACTGCCGACTGTCACATACAGAAACTCTCGTATTTTGGTCTGCGAATTTGGCCTGCCGCGCCGATTAGATATTTGCCCTCACAATCTCCAGTATCGGCCAGATAAGACTAGTACATTTGTCGTGTGAATGTAGTAACTGGTAAAAGGCAAAGAACATATAATATGATCACTGACTGATTTTCGCATTTTACTTTTCATCCTTTCAAAAATATACAGTTGCCAAGTAGACTTTAAAGGCCTCCACAGATACGTAGTTTTTTCGCACAAGCTTTCTGTGCAGGATCTAGGCTTGACCTTAGTGAGTGAAATCAGACCTTGCTGATGTTTAGTCTGGGCAAACTTCGAATTCTGAACGTGTGTGTGTGCTCGTTTAGTTCAATTTTGTTCAGTCAAAAATCGTTATTGCACAAGCGAGCTGAGTGCAAGACAGAACTGTGCTATGACTGAAACTATTACTGGGTATCTCACTCAGTTCACTGTAGACAAAACAGTGTCTGTGCGATAGACAGTAGTACAGGTTAAACTGCTCAAACTTGGTAATCGTTCATTGAATCTTAAATTTATCACCGAATAAATCACCGACAATATAAATCACCGATGACTTATTAACAATACATAATGTAGGATAGTAGACTAAATAATTTTTTTAAAATACTTAATTTTGATATTTATATATATATACTGCTGATAAACTGTTAAGAAAATTAAAGTCATATGCTTAAATGATAATTAAAATTCAGTTCAATGATAATTAAAATAAAAAATATGAAAATTCTATCGAATATTGCATGCATGGTTTTAGCCCTTTAAAAAACTTTAATGAAGCCAAACCTAAAGAATGTTCCGGCTTCTGGAACACAGTATGCAAATATAACGAGCCAAATCCAGGTTGTACGTTCTACGGCTGGAACTGTGAATTCGTACTGTCTGCTTGAATCTGAAAATGTAATCAATATAAAATTCAAAGTCTTTTTGACTGTAATATACTAATGCCTTCTATGTCTATATTAAATTATTGTTGCGTGTGATATTTCAGGGGAATTAAACATATTATATACAGGGTGAGTCTTAAATAAGTGCAAATATTTTCAGGGCTGGCAGATCTCGATAAAAGAGACATATTTTCTCTTTACCGTTTTTCAAATAAATTCAAAATAAGCGAATTATTCAAGTTTGAAAATTTGAGAGTTGAAAAATTTTTGAGAGTCGCCAGATTTTGTATTTGCATCCCTTTTACTGCCATAACATGGCCATAACCAATCTCCATAACCATGATAATATTAGAGATTAAGAAATTATACAGTAGGAAAATTTGCGGTGAACAGGTAGTTTTAAAAAGTTTTCTAAAATATACAGAAAAATTTGAAAGAAAATGCATTATTAATTTTCAACATATTTTTTTGCGAAGAACAACTCATAGACGTATAAGTATTACCAAGTACTACATGCTTTAGAAAACAAAGTTTTCAAAAGTAACATGTATATATCATATAATTATCCTGTTGTTTTGCATAAAGTTGTAAATTACGATATACGTACGCAATATTGTCTTAAGCTTGATTTTCATGCATCCGTTATTCGATACCTTTCAAAGGTTGGTACGATGGTCCGACGGGGCTCTGATTGGTCATATCATTTTCGCGCCACTTTTCATTTGTAAATTTTTTACTCCAGCCCGTCAACGGAAAAAGTTAAAATAAATCTAACTTTTCGTATGATAACGGACGTTTTGGCACTTTTTTGACAAATTTAATCGAATATTAATAAAAATGTAAGGAAAACAGCGAAATCGTTCCAGAAATGAAAATATAAAATGACACCAATCACAAGCAGTTCGTATATCCAATAAACGGAAGCATGAAAATGTAATAAATCTAAAAACTGTAATTTTTTAGCCAATCGAAGTCTTTAAATTCAACCAAGAAAATTAATATCGTGTCATCGTATTGTCAGATAACGAATGCATGAAAATTACGCCGCTATTAAGCCAGTATTACCACAGATTATACAGATTATAAACTTTGTTTTTTCTTTATTGTTTTTCGTGGTTCCAATTTTTGGAATCGGGCACTAGTTAGGTTACTAGTTTGCGCACATAGCACGCCCAGTTATTATGGCCTCTAAAATTGTGCACAGCGCCTGACCGGCACAGTTATTAGAGAGATATCGGAAAACCGAATAGCGTCATGCAGTATTTACGCGTACCTACCTTATCATGATTACGATATGCGCGAGTCAATTTTTAACGCAACACACACTAATAACGTTATCGCTTGACGTAATTTGCGGATCAATTACACCAAGCGCCATTTCTAAATAACGTTTAAAAATTGCTTAAATGGGCATGTGCGGGTATTTGACAACCGGGGCCGGCCGGCGAGATCTTTTATTTTAGGTTATTTTTGAATTGTTTTGAATTATTACTTTAGTTTTATTAGATAACTTGATATTTAAGTAGCTGGGATTAGTTTTAATTAAATAAATATGGCCCAAAATATGGATTCTACCTCTTCCAATATTAAAGAACCTATAAAGAGGCTTAGGTTTACAGCAGATGACGACTTAGCCCTTCTAAGTTCTAAGAGAATTTGTTGCTTGTTGCCCTAAACCCACTGGCAGACGTTGAACAATAAAGCACTGGAAATAAGCACTTTAGCCTTTTAGTTTTAAAATACCTAGTAAACAAAACAATTTCAAAGTTTTAATTTCAAAGTTAGGTTAAGTTTAAATAACGGACGCGACGCGAACAGAATTCTTTTCGATCCGATAACTATAAATGAAGAGAGTTAATACCACCTCACGTAAAGGAAATAACACCTGGCCTTATTAACGTCCATGCCGCTATTCGGTTTAGCGATATCTCTTTATTACGCTGTTTATTGTTATTTTACGCGAGTTTATTTTTGCGCACAGGAAATTTTACTCGTTTACAAATCGTTATAAAAAAACAATTTTCGTACCACGAATTAGGGATAAGATTTTTATCTGCATACATATAGTATACCTAATCTGTGGTATAACACTATAAAATTTCTTTGTCAAAGATTTTTTTTAAAGATATTTGATGAAAAATTTGATAGTGTAATATACTGTTACACTGTCAAATTCTCCGTAAAATATATTTCAAATAAAATATTTGCTTTTAAGAAGTTTTATGTTTAATACCGGCCTTATGTATTGAAATGCATCTAAGTTTAGTTATTTTAATTTCATAGTCGCCATATAAAATTGCTTTTGGTAAAAGAAGAAAATATATAAACAAGGTACTACTTACCAAGGACTCGACTACAGTAGGGACGTGTTATATTCTTCTTAATCTGAGATGTCATCAAAAACATTGTTACCTTAGACGTGACGGCACTGCATAAAACTACTAAAAATACTGCAACTATTGTAAAAATCTTGAATGCTATTATGCCGTTATCGATCCATTTAGACTCGGCCATGGATCCGACCTCTGCCTTCCGATGAAGTATTTTGAAGGAATCCCATGGCTTAACATCTTCGCCTTGCCTGGAATCAATATCTGTTAGTTCGAGAATAGAGATCATACTACAGAAAATTTTAGCTAGGTAATTTTTTAGCAAATACAAAATCAAACGAGGTATCAAAAATTTACTAAAGGGAATATTTGAAATACTCTTGGCTTAGCCAAGTTCGCTAAGTTATTGTACAAAAGTAAGCTGCAACCATATGGAAGATTTTAGTTTATTATACAGGGTCATATAAAAAAGAACTTAGGAATTTTGTTTAATTCTATACCTAAAATATGTACTAGGGCCTATTTGTTTCAGGAAAATATTTTAACTTCTACAGGATTGCTAAAAAAAGTGTGAGTGGATGCATGAGGATTATATTTTTTAACTAACCTGTTTATTATTGCATATTTGGCTTTATATCACTTACATATTGGCTTTAAAATCACTTTACATAGTCCTAACATACTATTAAATTTGTTTTGACAGTTTCAGAGAGATAAATAAATAAAGGAACAAATATATTTTTTAGCTTTTTTAAAACAATAATTAAAAATATAACATGGGTGTCCTGAAATAACAAGCTATGCATGGTATGTACTTAATATAGTCGGCCCGCACTTACTACATTATAAATATCGTAATCTTAAATCAAACAGAATGTTCACAATTCCACGCCAAACTATCTAAAATATAAAACATTTTTTTTTGTTTTTTTTAATGGAACACCCTATATATTATTTTTTTTAGATCAAGAATTAAAAAATTAATATTTATTCGCTGTATTATTACATACGGTATGGCTCTTTCAATGTTAAAATACTAGACAAATATCATTAGGTGGCTTTGATAAAAATATTACTCTAAACGTTCTCCAACCCAATGTGAGTGTGAGTATATATCAATGTAAAACCTCTGACGATGGGTTGGGGACTCAAAAAACTCACAATCTTTTAAGATGTTTTTTTTTTAAATAAACGTTTTAAGTAAGTATTTATTATCACAGATGTTTAGTGCTATTTACAGCAATTTCCCAAAAACAATAATGGTATGATAATTACAAAAACCTACTTTTTTAAAAGTGCATTTCCGCACCCATATATACAGGGTTGTTCACCACATACGACATGGAGTATTGTAGCTAGACGATTAGATTTTTGCAAATTGTAAGTTTTGGGTTCGTTGAAGGACTATTAGAGCTACAACTTAAAAATATTTTTACAAGATACAGAGTGTCCCAAATAAATAAAAAATATCAAAGTTGTATTTTTTTAAATGGAACACCCTGTATATTATTACATTTTTAGTTTCTACGATTAAAATAAAGGTAAATTTGATTAAGGTTTATCACACTTAAAGTTTACCGTTTTTGAAATATTTTCAATTGTGTGAAATTGCAGTAAAAATTTTAAGACTTCGTTTCTCCAAGGGTATCGAAGTTTTTAATACTAAATATTTACTGAAGTTTATTTATTGATCAGTTATTGTGCTGCAATAATAAAAAAAAACATAATACTACCTCATACAGAGTGTCTGAAAAAAAAATATTTATATTATATATATATATATATATATTATATATATATTTATATATAAAAATGGGTATATATTAATATACCCATGGAATATTGATATTTTAGATTATTTTTAAAGATGTAACAAATTTTTAAAGAGTACAGATACTAATATATGTCGATAAAGTTGGTTTATTTCATTAAAAAATAAAAAAAAATGTTTAAATATTTTTTGTTAAAGAGGACCAATTAATATGATGCCAGTATTCAAACTACATTAATTGGCTGTTTACGTTGATTAATAATAATTGCTCTAAATACTAAAAAACTGAATTTTGTGTGTGTGTATTAGACAGTGTGGTAAAAAGTAACACCTTATAAATTTTATTTCATCTTTTAACGTATGCTTATTTATAAGAACAGAGACGTTCATTTTCATAACTTATTATTATATTGATTTCTGAGCCAAATCCACATTTATTTAGAATACTTTATTAATTAGAACAATTTAAAAGTATGTAATTAACTAATTTTTGGTCAGAAATAATGGTGGTATATTTAATTGGTATACTCTTTTACAAAGATTTAAATAGTTTTTTTGTATACCAATGATCTTGCAATATTTACCACCTGTACATTTGGTACATATATGTTGCTTTAAAAAAATCTGAAATGTCAATATTCCATGGGTATAGTGATAAATCAGGTCTAAATTATAAGAAAGTGCATTTTCTACGAAAACTTGAAGAGATACGTAAAAAATGGTATAATAAAATTTGATAGACAATTAAATTGTGCATATAATTCACGTAAAACATACCGGGTGTTCCATTTAAATTAAACAAGTTATTGCCGTTTAAAGCTAGTAATTATTTAATCTAAATTTTTGGACAGTCTGTATAAGGTAGTAAAATTTTTATTATTTCAACACAATATCTGATCAATAAATAATCTTCAGGAGAGATTTAGTACTAAAAACTTTGATACCCTTGGAGAAATGAGGCCTTAAAATTTTTACTGAAATTTCATAAAATTGAAAATATTTCAAAAAAGGTAAGGTTTAAGTGTGATAAACCCTAATCAAATTTATCTTTATTTTAATCGTAGAATCTAAAAATAGAATAATATACAGGGAGTTCCATTTAAAAAAATGCAACTATAATATTTTTTACTTATTTGGGACACTCTGTATCTTGTAAAAATATTTTTAAATTGTAGCTCTAATAGTCCTTCAACGAACCCAAAACTTACAATTTGTAAAAATCTAATCGTGTAGCTACAATACTCCGTGTCGTATGTGGTGAACAACCCTGTATATACGGGTGCGGAAATGCACTTTTAAAAAAGTAGGTTTTTGTAATTATCATACCATTATTGTTTTTGGGAAATTGCTGTAAATAGCACTAAATATCTGTGATAATAAATACTTACTTAAAAAATAATTTACTAATTTTATTGTTATTAATAAAATTGCGTTTATGTCATCATAGAGACAAAAAATACAGTGGGGCACATATTTTTTTAGGAAAATATTCCAGATAACTGATGCGCACGTCCTTGGAAAATCTATCAACGCTTTTTTAGCACTAAAATATGTAGCACTTATTTTACCCTCAACATTTTATTCGAATCACGAAAGACACTTTTAAGAAAATTTTATTAATTAAAAAAAATAAAACCCCCTGTAGCTACGAAACAAACTGAATCTGACCTATATAATACGAATAACGATTAAATCAGCGAGAGGAAGACATATTTTAAAATTTTAGATAAATGAAAAAATTGAGTTGTTCAGATGATCGATGAAACCGTAGATAAAAATAAACGCGTCATTATATGAACGCTTCCATTGAAATAACAAAAAACGATATCATGATAAACAGTCCAGGGAAATGAATAATTGGGAAAACTGCAAGTAATCAGTGGGAAATGGCGTTGATGATTCATTTACTCGAGAAATTGTTATCGCGTCGGGTATGAAAAGGGTCCAAATTGCTTTTATTAAGTCGGAAAATTGAAATACAAGCTACTCAGACTTGGAAAAGTGATATTCATTTATTAAACGTCGAGCGCCGAGCCGTTCTCTGAAATTAAATGGAATTTTTCGAGATAATCGATTGGTATCTTCCATACTCATCCAAAGAAGGTAAAATAAAATAGGAGTAGATATGGGGGATGAGTTTATATTTAATTAAATCATCGTTAGCCAAAAAATTATCATTATCGATATATCGTTAGCCAGATATTATATAAAACTCTCGTGTCACAGTTTTAGTTACCGTACTCCTCCGAAACGACTTAACCGATTTTGGTGAAATTTTATATGTACATTCAGTAAGTGTAAGAATACTGTTACGTTTTTCGTCGGTTCCGTGTGGATAGAAAGTCACAATTTACTTAAACACTATTTATTTAACACTAATTAACAAAAACAATAACGATAAAAGACTTATAGAACTATTTACAAACGATTTATAACTAAGAATTTATTTTGAATTTTAGCGCGTCAACTGCACTCGTCTATTTATAACTGCCCTCTCTAAGCCACAGCCGCCGGCTTTTATACCTACAGTTAAAGTTTACTAGAATAGTCCATAGATCATTAGGTGCATAGAGAAGGTTTCGAATGTTCTCGTATGTACTACTCCATTCCAGTGGGACTCGATTCTTCTCGAATCTTCGAATGAATCATTACGGTGTTTATTTTTTAATGCGATGTTAAGGTCATCCGAGGGCGGGCCATATAGTTAGGTTAGGTCGAGTCCACACCGGTCCGCAACACTGCCCCCTTCTTAGGTACATGCTCGTCCCGAGATGTACACGGTGAATGAAGATATTTGCAAAGCTGGCCCCTGGTACATTGCGAAGTCTGGTAGAAATAGCAGTCTACAGTTTTCTCTCCCGATCTGAGCTTTGGGTTGTAGCAGCAAACAAGGATCTCGATTCCCGTAAATCTGAACAAGACTTCAATCATGTTCCGGATTGGTCGCCAACTCAAACCACCGAGTCCACACGCCAGCTTCGGAATGGCTAATCGTGCAATGTTGTTGTTTAGCAGGGCTTCTCTCAGTTCAATCAGGGTCTTCCATAGATTGAGATAAGTCGGCTTACTCGGGGATCATTCCTTGGTGACCAAGTAGAAGATGTGTCTTGCTTGACCATGTGCATTGTCGGTTATCCTCAAGACGCTTCCAACCTCTGGATCCTGTCGGCGTAGTTCTCCGACACGCCCAAACTTCTCATTGAACGTCGCAGCGATTCCTCTGGACATCCGCAAATCTCGGGCCACACAATGAGCGAGCGAATAATCAGGAGGCACGGAAAAGAGGTCTTGTTGATCTTCTTTGGTTTTAGAATTTTTAGAATTTAGAATGAGTGGGAGGGGGGTTAATCACTTCGACCTTACAGATCCATTGTGTCCCCCTTTCTTGAATCATAACTCATCATACAGTCCCAGTCCATCTTCTTTGGTTACACCATAGCGAGCCTTCTCACTGCTGTTGTATCGGGCCATGAAATCGTC